GTTATCCTATGGTGGTAGGGGCACTACCACCATTGCTGATGGGCTCAGCCTTGGCCAGCAGCGAGTCTGCCTTGGAGCCTCCTGGCATTGGCTCTGTCAGACATGGGGGAAGCTTCTGGCAGCTTCTCACAGAAGCCAGCTCTCTAGGCTCCCCCCCGCCTCCAGCTACCAAAACCTTGCCATACGAACCCAATACACAAGTAAAAAGCCCTGGTAAAAAACCCTCAGCTGATAAATAGGAGCATTAGGCAACTGAGCCCATGGGGGATGAGCCTTCAGCTTGGGTTACACTTGTTCATGTGAAAACAGGGCTAGGGATACACACAGCCTTTGGGCCCAAACCCAAAATCTGTAGCCCTAGTAGACCCATGTCCTTGTTTCTCTGTAATGTTGAAGACGTTTTTTTTCCCTTCACAGCTGTCACAGGCACTTGTGCACCTACGCACATATCTACATAAAAATATACATACATATATATGCTGTGTTGACAGTAGTGTAACACTGACTCATCACTGGGTCAACAAATGAACGTGAAACATGGTTATCTTTGCAGAAAAAGTACATTTCTGTCACTGAGTAACGCATAGAATTAGAGCTTTTCCCTTCCAGCAGTGTATGCTGGGCAAGTACGGAACAGTTCCTGCTTGGAGGGGGAAAACTTTCAGTCTTTGGAAGAAGTAACAACTGTTACGCTTTGGCTCTATTACTTAGATTGTAATGTGACATACTCAAAACCTTCAGCTGGGTTTTATTTGTCTGCAAACAAATGCATTTTTGAAGATGCGATGCAACGAATGTTGCAGATGATAGCTGCATCTTCAGAGCAGCTTTAGATACTGTATCACATTTAATGCCAGCGTTGAGACAAACTAGCACTTAATGTGTTGAATAAAGTTTCTGCTCTCCCTGTTTGGGTAGCCAGTGTGAATATCCATATGCTGTGTTCTGTTGTCTCTACAATGTTTTACAGCTAGTTAACGGGACTCAATAAGCTGCCATCTGTTTTTAGCAGTGGTAGTTTCTCTGTCTAAAATCTTGTCTAAAATGACAGCACAGTCATTACTGTTGGAATGAAAGTTACTGGCTTTTGCGTAATGTAGTTGAATTAGCAGGATAGCTTTGCCAAAAGGTAAAAATAGCAGCAACAAGAGATATTTTTCTCTATTCTGCAAAGAGAAAAAAAAACCCTGACATATAGTAATCCAGGAACGCTGTGCCTGTTAGTGGTTTGGTTATATTTCTGTTACTTATAGAGTGAGTGGTGTTTTCAGAGGTGTTCCTGGCTCTAGCAAAAGCTCTGAACCTTGGAAGCTATTGTGGGAACATGCCCTTTTCAATGAAGCTTCTACTGAAGTGAAAGAAGACCATAGGCTGGAAAAAAGTCTGATCAGTGGGAGAAAGGGAAGGAACCCTCCAAATAAGGGGGAAGAAAACCCAACATTAATAGTTCACTTAAAAATAGAGATGATGTTGGTGTGGAAGAGAGGGACAAAAAGCACCCAGAAGCATGACATCAGGACAAATGTCACCTGTTGTGAATACTGAGCAGAGAGTCAGTCCTAGGAGCATGACATTTTGGGAAGAAGAGGGAAAGATGAATCTGGTAGCGGCAGAAGTCAAACTTGGGAAGAAACACAAGTGGGTATATATAGAGAAACTGTGTTTGGAGGGGTGATGAGGAGGCCAAGCCCTTCCACTGAGTAGGAGACCAAGGAACTGCCCTGCCGTCTTAAGAGAATGACATCAAAGCACTGATGAAGGTAAAAGCGAGCTTTCAACGGTGAGAATGGTCTGCTTCAGCATTTGCAAAGTGTCCATATTCCTGCTATTGGCAGCAATCACTTCAGGTTTTCTTGCGTTAGTATTAGCTGCTGCCAAGGGTAGTCTTCCATCTGCTCCCTCTGTCCTGTCAGGACAGGGATTGACTGCTTCATCCTGTTAGTGACACCTGTGATGGTTAGTGACACTGAAGCACTTTGTGTCTTCTGCTATGCAGCAGGGCCATGGCAGGCCAGGCTGAGGGATGAAAACCAGCTGCTGCTGCTGCTTTGGCTGCCTGGTTTTGCCACAGATTGGGCTGGGACAGAGTTTGGCAGGGTGACAGAGAGGACATGGGCCAGGACCGGAGCTGTTTGAAGGACAGAATTCCTAGGTGCTCTCCCACAGTCCCCCTTGTCACAATCCAACACTCGGACCAGGTTCCTGGAGATACCCTGTGGATGGAGGGTGTATGCTTATAGATTTACTTCCTTGAAGATGGTTGATATCACGTGGCATTTCTAATTTAGAGTGCTATAAAGTCTACTGAAAACACAACAGAAATCTGTTATGCTTTGCAATTGCAATACAGAGTTCAATCACACCACCAGTGCGATTCCGATGACTATGGGATCCTCACCATCACCATGCAGGGTGTCCACAATCTTGGGGGGAATAGGAGGGTTGATGCCAGCTCAAGCCCCATGCTCTCTTCAAAATTCTTTTGGCAGTTGTCTGGGGCTTATACTCCATGTAGCTGGTCTGTCCAGCCTGGGGAGCTATTCACAGTGTCTAAAGAACTCGTGGAGAAACATTTATGCCACCAGTTGATCCACTCAACTGCTGATAGCAGTTTACCTAAAACAAAGGCCACCCTCCCATCCCCTTTGAGATGAAGTCATCTTCTTTGCAACAGCTGTGGTCCATCCCACCCTGCATCACTCCTTGAGCTTCACAAGCACATCATCACCCTTGCCCATCTCTTGGCCTTACTCCATTTTAGGGGCTTAGTGGGGTCACACCCATGGGAAACCAACCCCCAAATCCACAAATGCCACTAAAAGCCATCACCTCTTCCTTGGCAAACTCGCAGTGGGTTCAGCTTCTCTTTAGCACCAGCCTTGAATATTTCTAACCAGCATATCCATCTTGCTACAGCCTACTTTTATATACTGCACAGGCTCGTAGAAACTGTAATGGAAAGGAGGCTCAATAGAGCCAAATTAAAGCTACTCAGAAATACTGTAAACATATTATTCTTGCAGTGCACTAACTTGTCAATGGATTTGACCTGGGCCACTGTTCAGTTGTGCTCTGTAGGATTTTTTTAGCCCTCCACCCTCCTCTGCCCAGTGCCAGCACTTCTTACATCACTAATGGTATGATAAGGCTTAACTGTGTTTTCCTGTGGTCAGCACATATGCAAACCAGTGTCTTCCCAGGCAAAACCCATCATTCACTCTTCTGCAGGCAACTAGTGTGTCAGGAAAAGGTGGTTTAAACATTCATGTAAGCTTAGAAAGGATCACCTTGCAACAAATGAACACAGATTTTCCAATGATAAAACTCTATCTTTAAAGCAAGTGAAAGGTGCTTGTCAAACAGGCTCTGCCTGGGGTGTGCAAATTCTACAATTCCTAATGTAGGTAAGGTAAGGGTGATGAGAAGTATTTGAGTTGGTCAATATATTTTACTGTTGTGTTTGGATTTCTTTTTTAAAGACTAAACTCTTAGGCAATAAGAAATGTTCTGGAAAATTCAGTTTTACTTTTGAGAAACCTTAACTTTCATGGTAAGTATCAAAGTATACAGTATTTAATATGATGCCTGTTTCCAAAAGTGATCATAGAGAAAGGAAACAAATTAACTAAAACCCCATCTGTGTTTTTTACTGGATAACAGTAAACAATTCAAATACTATTACTATTGTTTTCCAAAGTGAGTCCCCTGAAAGGTAAAGCCAGGAGTTCTCTGTTTTTGAAATTAGAAAAATACATATGTTTTAAGGATTTGTGCTTTAGTTAAAGGAATTCAGGCAGCTGAGATTCTTGCATTATTTTTCAGAGCATGTATGAGCCAGTGTGGTACAGACATGATGGGTTTGTGCTGAATTTTTTTAGAATGCTGGAAATAAAAGTGAGAAAACAAACTTCTGATTGTTATTTTTAATTTTACACAATTCATGTTTACAATTCTCACTATTCAATAGTTTGTATAAAATCAAATACAATATGCAGCATTTTCAAATGAGACACAAATGCATATTGAACTACTTAATATTACAAGATAATATGAAGCTTTATCTTAAAAATACCTTCAGCAAAATAAACTCCCATTCTGTCAATCCAAGTTAAAAAAATATGATTAGAAATATACAATTTAAAAATAATCAGGATGAACAGTACTGATTAGTCAAGAAATTTTAGATCTTGATAGTCTGTACATGAGTTTACGCAAGACAAACAGTCTGAAAACCATTAATATAAAAACTGCAGTGCAACAAACAGGTGAACATCACATTTTTCTTTTTTTTTTCCATTTTAGTGCATGAGTCTCTACAAATCTTTTTTTTTTTTTTTTTAAATCAGCAGCACTTCCTCTGTTGTCACACTGGGGCAAAAAGACAAGGTCTGGGTTAACATCTGAGTTATTGATGCTGTAATAGAAGCTAGCAATTTGATCCAAGATATTGCAGCTTTTGAGTATGTTGCATACTTTTGAATAAGAGATCAAGGGAGAACCCATCTGTCCTGTATTTGAAAGAGGGGGAAGAATTTCTAAGGAAAAACTCCTGAGTGATGGCAGCAGAAATAACTTGCTTCAGCTGCTCTGCAGTACAGTCGTGATGCAGCTGCTGCCACGCACTCTGTTTTGGCACATAATGCTTCACAAAAGATTTAGAAACCAAAGATTCCCTCACCCATGCCCACTCCTCATTCTTGTACTTAAGACAGCTTTGGTATGGTGTAATAAAAATGCTAGACAAAGTCCTAAAAATTCAGAAGAACAAACTAAGCAATACAATTAGATGGGACACAATGAGGTAATGAGTTAATTTTCCATATAAGGCTATTTGGAGAGTTTGAATGTAAAATCCCTTTGACATTTATGTGTTTCTCACTAAGATACTGGGTGTCGGAAGGTCTATCCTGAAACACATTCATGCCAAACATGAAGTTTTGGTTTAGCTATTTTGTGTGTTTGTGCACTTGTTTTATGCAAATTTACTTCTGATGAACCTGAAAGTGCTAATGGCTCCAATGGCTACTTTAAAAAAGGCAAATTCCAATTTGGAATTTGGAAGGGGTGTGAAATAGACTGATTATTTTTAGGTTAAAACCAAAGATGCTAAAAGAGGAAGCTCAGCTGAGAGAAGGGCAAAGCCAAACACAATAAATATTACTAAATCTTTCTTGTTTTGACTCTCACCCTCTCACATCACTAGTTTCACCCCTTCTGTCTTCCAAGATAAGAATTTTTTTCAAAAATAAACACAAGTTCATCTTTGCACAATACACCTACTACTGTGGTTACCTATATTTCAGCTTTTGGGCAAGTGGCTTGCTTAAAAAAAAAAAAAAAAAAAAAAAAAAAGACTGAGAATTTTTAATCACTGTATCAGGGTGAATTCTGTCCCTCTTTTTTAGGTGCTGTTCACCTAGAATAAAATGGTGGTGAGGGTGAAGATTAAGAGGAAAACAAAACATATTTGGGGTCTGAGCCTCCATGGTCCTTTATTTTGCATCATACAAGTCTCTTCTGTTTTCTTTTTATCCATATTTGCAAATTTTGACTACCCAAAAGCACAGATGCTACCTGCAAGCTTACTTACACTTCATATCCTGCTTCCCCTGCAACTCATGACGCTCTTGCCACAAAATGTTTTAAAGCCAATGTGTTTTAAAACATTCATATTGCATTCAAAAATCAGCAGTCTGACAGAAAGCTTAATTTTAGTTTAAAAGGATGTAGGTTGAAACTAGTCACTGAAACTGCCCATTTACATTCATAAAAAGAAAATTCTCCCCCTTGCAGAGGTAATCTGTATCTTTAAAAACTTCAGTTGATCCATTGCTAATGTTTCAGATCTCTCCATTTCTTCTGTTTTCTACTGTAAGAGATCAACAGGTAACTGTATCATAATTAAGGCTATGTGGTAACAGTCCTCATTGGAGGGATATGCAGCTATAAACCTCAGTTGGCAGACAAGGGTACATCACTGGAAAGCCAGCTCTGAGATTTTGTAACGTGAGAAGCAGTAGGGAAAAAATGCTCCCAGTGTTTGAAGACAGGCTTGTAGTGGATGAAAATTCCAGTCTCAGAGAGATTCCACTAAAAATCATACTGCTTTTTAACAGAGGTAAGCTGTAGTTTTTAAGGAGTTAATTGGATGTTAAAAACTATACCTGCCCCTGAGTTCCACTACCAATCTCAGTTGTACAGCAAGCTTATTTTCCCTTTTTTGTGTGCTGCACTCATTAAGTGTCTCAAAGCTAAAAACAGTGACATCCACATGTTCTCAAGTGTACCAACAAAACCCAGGAAAAAATTCTTACCTTTTAGATATAGCAACCTAAAGTTTCACCTAAAAGACTTGAAGATAGGAAAAGAAACAGTAATGACATTTCAGTATGACCGCACTGCTTTAAATGGTAAGCTGTTTTTCATCCCCCTTAAAATCATACCAGATTTAAAGCAATTACAACTAGTTAAAAGAGCCATTGGTTGTGAACAACTAAAAGTCTATTACCATTAAAAACAAGTTAATAGCTTATAGCTAGTTTTTCCAAAATAAACAAACCACACAACCTTTGAAAATAAAGCACTCTTTGGTGGACAATAGTTACTTTGTGTACTCAATACTGCGGCTTCATAAAAAACTTCATACAAAATAAGAAAGAATAGCCAATTAACACTGAAGAGTACCAATACTATAAGAAAAAAGCTTCTGTGGTTGATTTTCAGTCTCAAGTGAAGACTTGAGCCCAGTCTGAACGGACAACACAGATTTATATATTTAAAAGCTCCCACCGTCTTTTTGTTTCTGGTGGTCAGCAGCTAAGTGATTGCCATCACAATTTATACACATGCATCGTACATACTAGCAAGCCCTCTTTATAATAGAGAGCTTAAGTATTTACACCTGAGTCTAAATGTACACAGATTTTGTTGGTTTTGTTTGAGGAAGTGTTAGCACATTAGGGAAGTCTCTACCAAGCATGTTGACAGTTCATTTTATTGTACGAATATGGAAGAGATTCATCTGTTTCACATTTGCTGAGAAATGGAGACAAAGTAATCTTCCTTGAATTGTATCAAGTCCCCTCTAGTCAAATCCCCTTCACTCCTGAATATCCTCTTCAACACTGGTTGCTTATTTGAAATTTAACGCAATACTGTTCTAGTCCTTGGGCTGGATTGGCTGCTGAAATAAAACATATTTGAGGAAAAAAGTTAAAAGTGTACTCAATATGTATTTCAAGCAAACATTTCTGGCAAGGTAAAATGAGTGAACCATACTTCAAAGAAAGAAACAGAAGATAAAAGTCACTGCATTTAAGAACACAGCAATATATTGGTTGTAAAGAAAGCATGGACTGGTCTGATCACAGACAATATGAAGAAAGGTTCTGTTCCATACAGAAAAGCAACAGAGGATTCAAAGTACCATAATTTCATTAAGTGCATTTGCTTTTCTTTCTCTCCCTCTGAGGTATCAGACTGTAGGAGAAGTAGAAAGAATAGTAAAGAAACATTCATTTTTTAAAGCTAGGTTTAGATTACATGTAGACAAGCTCTGAAATGCTGCAGGTAGTTTTCAGTGTTTGAACAAGGCTGCAGAAGGCTTCTTTACAATTCCCAGCAAAGCAAAAGCATATGAGATTTTTAAAGCGTATTCCTCTTCATTAGTTTTTGTGATATACCTCTCTGGTTAAGGTAGTAAAGGAATCTATACCATACAGTTTTCAAACATTTTCCCCCATACTCCACATTATTTTGTTGTAATAACTTGACCTGCATTCCCTTAAGCACCTCTGCCTACCAAAATTCCTTCACCACAGAAGATCTCATTTCTAATCAACTACTTGCTATATACATAATCCTAATTCTGTTAGGGGTAGTAACATGGAAAAGGCTGTTTCATTTGTTCATTACTATGATTCAGTTGGTTTGGATCTGATGTGTGCACCTTGCTAAAACACAAACACGAACTTCTCAGTAACTGCCAAATTTACAAGGAAGAAGTCTTAACTGGAGAAAGTAGATGGCAGCTAATACCTAAGGATGTTCCGCAAAGGAAGTGCAGTCAATGTTATGAATAGGATTGAAATTCCCTAAATTCTTGTTGCAAAGGCAGAATAGAGTGTTTTAGCTGTAAGTGTCTGTTCTGGCTGAAAAATCATCCTGTGGGCATTCTATGATACTGCCTATGACTGTCTGAAGGATGAAATGGCAAATGAATTACTGAGGTCTGCGGATTATACTGCATTAGGATGGGTCACAAATGCAATTAATCTCCAGTAAGAGTTGACTAGAATGACCTATAGCATCAACAAATGAGATTAATGCAAAAATACTGCAAGATGTTTCCAGTGGAACATATCAGACAAAAAAATGAAAGAATAAGGGTACACAGTAACGTCGGAAGTTCAGAGAAGGCAACAAGGTCTTGACAAAGACAGATGTTGGTTAGGGCATGATCTCAATTTTGTAACAATAATTCTCCACCCTGCAATCTACTTGATCTGGAATAGGTCAATCAATCTGAGCACTATGAGGTAATGTAAACTGCACAGACTTCAGAAAATGAAACTTAAGAGATGAAAAAACAAAGGGATGTTTAAAAAAAGTGTGAGGTTTTGCCAAATGCTACAGGAAAAATAAAAGGACACCTACAACAAGGTATTGTCCATGAAAATTGTACACTCGTACCAAAATATCCTTTAGAGGGACCAGCGCTCAATTAGCCCTCTCAGATGACAAGACAATGAAGAACTCCAGAACTGTGATCTAACTATTTAGGACAAATTTTTTTATTGGATCCAAGCATAAAGTGACTGAAATTCTTTGACCTCAAAAGCTAGAAGAAAAGAAACAGTATATGGAATGAAATATTTGGGGTGGAAGTTTTATAAAACTCATTAAAATATGAAGTAGTTAATGAAGTTTGAGATTGGCCTCATCCTTGGTCCTCAGAGTCATACATATGGCAATATACCTAAAGGATTTGTTTCAAAATAACTAAATTCTTCTATGAACTCTACTTTAAGGATGTTGTTACCAACTATGGATAGGTATTCTCATCTCACACAACACAAAGGTCAGCTTGGGGGTCTGTTTTCCAGGAACTGAAAATCTCTATTCAGTTACACATGTGCATGTATGCAGCTACCAAGAGTTGCAAGGAGCTTAAAACTGGGAGAGGCATGAATAATAAAAACAGCAGGCAGAATCCCATCAATCTGTTTGGCCCAAAACTGACACAGTGAAAACGATGCAAGATGGAGGAAAAAACCCAACCAAACAAACAGGAAAACCCTGAGAAGTACTTCAGATTTGTAGTAAAACATACATTTCAGGAAAAAGAGATTATTTTTTAACATCATGTTGTATGTGTCCTGGTTTTGGCTAGGATAGAGTTAATTTTCTTCATAGTAGCTATCACAGTGCTGTGTTTTGGATTTAGTACTAGAAGAATGTTGATAACACACTGATGTTTTGTTGCTAAGTAGTGCTTAGACTACTCAAGGACTTTTTGAGCTTCTCCTGCTCGCCCAGGTGCATAACAAGCTGGGAGTACAGCACAGCTAGGACAGCTGACCCAAACTGACCAAAGGGCTATTCCATGTCACGTAACATCACGCTCGGGGCGTTAGTTGGTCGGTCGGTTGCGGGAAGACTGATCGCTGCTCAGGGACTGCTTGCTGCTTGGGGACTGATTGCGGCTCAGGGAGTGATCGCAGCTTGGGACAGGCTGGGCATCAGTTGGTGGGTGGTGAGCAATTGCATTGTGCATCGTGTTTTGTATATTCTGTTACCATTCTCATTATGACTATTATTATTTTCTCTTATTAAACTGTCTTTATCTCAGCCCATGGCTCTTACCTTTTTTTTTCTCCTTCCCGATTCTCTCCCCCATGCCACTGAGGGAGGGGGGAGTGAGCAAGCAGCTGCGTGGTGCTTAGTTGCCAGCTGGGTTAAACCAC